TTGCTTAAGATAAGGTTTTCTCTCCTTGGATTCTAAGCCGTGAACTTGTAAAAGATGTGTACTGATGTTCTTCAAATCAGGCCGACCGCAAAGCGGACAGGTCCGGCAAAATTGTCTCTCCATGACTGCTCCGGCAAATGATTCAAGTTTGCATAGAAACACGGTTCTATGTATTGTTGCTTTCAGGAAGAGCTTCTGTAAAGCTTCTGTAAAGCTTCTGTAAAGCTTCTGTAAAGCTTCTGTAAAGCTTCTGTAAAGCTTCTGTGAAGCTTCTGTGAAGCTTCTGTGAAGCTTCTGTAAAGCTTCTGTGAAGCTTCTGTGAAGCTTCTGTGAAGCTTCTGTGAAGCTTCTGTGAAGCTTCTGTAAAGCTTCTGTGAAGCCAAGCTCGAAAAGAGCTCTGAGCCGAGCTCTTTAGGCTCGGAGCCCAGCTCCTTAGGCTCGGAGCCCAAGCTCTTTAGGCTCGGAGCCGAGCTCTTTAGGCTCGGAGCCAGTTGCTTACGATTCAATGTTGCAATCCATGATTCAATAATATAATAACTAAATAGCTCGGAGTCGAGCTCCATTGAATCATTGAATCATGGATTGAATCATTGAATCATAAGCAACTGGCTCCGAGCCTAAAGAGGTCGGCTCCGAGCCTAAAGAGCTTGGGCTCCGAGCCTAAAGAGCTCGGCTCCGAGCCTAAAGAGCTGGCTCAGAGCTCTTTTCGAGCTTGGCTTCACAGAAGCTTTACAGAAGCTTCACAGAAGCTTCACAGAAGCTTTACAGAAGCTTTGCAGAAGCTTTACAGAAGCTTTACAGAAGCTTTACAGAAGCTTTACAGAAGCTCTTCCTGAAAGCAACAATACATAGAACCGTGTTTCTATGCAAACTTGAATCATTTGCCGGAGCAGTCATGGAGAGACAATTTTGCCGGACCTGTCCGCTTTGCGGTCGGCCTGATTTGAAGAACATCAGTACACATCTTTTACAAGTTCACGGCTTAGAATCCAAGGAGAGAAAACCTTATCTTAAGCAAAAATATCAATATTTTAGGATATCAGCATCTTAGGATATCAGTACCTCAGGATATCAGTATCTTAGGATATCAATATCTTAGCTTGGATATCTATATCTTAGGATATCATACAGCTTCTTAGGATATCATACAGTATCTTAGGATATCATTCGATATCTTAGGATATCATACAGCATCTTAGGATATCATACAATATCTTAGGATATCATACAGTATCTTAAGATATCAGTATCTTAGGATATCAGTATCTTAGGATATCAGTATCTTAGGATATCAATATCTTAGCTGGGATATCAATATCTTAGGATATCATACAATATCTTAGGATATCATACAGTATCTTAGGATATCATTCGATATCTTAGGATATCATACAGTATCTTAGGATGTCATACAATATCTTAGGATATCATTCGATATCTTAGGATATCATTCGATATCTTAGGTTATCCCCAGAAGATATGCAAGAATCACCTAGACGTTACGCTCTTAAAAGTAGACCGTACTAAATTTTGTTAAAACATTTTGAAGAAATAATTGTAAAACTGAAATCTTGTGTAAATTTTTGCCTGCAAAGCCCGCTTTTCCACCCGCGCGACCCGCCCACCTGATTGGTGTACAATATTGATCGCGTTTGGCCCAGGCCTGCCCTCGTTAATTGGTCGCGCTACCTGTCACAGTTGGCCCACCGCGTTAATTGGTCGCGCTACCTGTCACAGTTGGCCCAGGGTTAGGGTTAGGGCCAGCAAAGCTGCGTCATAGATTCCGCCTGCTAATTACTTCCGACACCTAAGTTTGCATACTAATTACTTTCGGAGCAATGTGACGTCATTGGCGGCATCCCTTTGTACTCCATATGGGGGGTATCACTACTGACCAGTGTACAAGCGATATTTTTTTAAATGATAGTGCAAACATAAAACTAGAATAAATTTTACTTATCTCAAGATGTCTTTTGAATGTTTTCGTTTTATTTACAACGTTAATTTCGTTTTAAATACGAACCAAAGAGCATTTGTATTTTCCGCAGAACAACAACAATGAAAATGGCGGGAAATTTTCGAACTTCGTACGTCACTCGAAGGGGTGAAATACGGAAAATACGCGCACCTGGTCGCGGATGTAGTGACGTATGAGTTCTACGAGTGTTTTAGTTTCCAGTAAAACACCATTGTCCATAAAATAAAAAGTATATATGAATTGTTGTGCATTTTAGGAAATGAATAGTGACGGTCGCAGACTTAACTTGCATGCCTTCCAGTTTCATGCGCCATGCACGTATAACGGTCGTAAAGATTGAGTCACGAGCCGAAATTAATATTACCGAAATCAGTAGAGTGTCTTTTCCGGAAGTTGAAAAGACAGTCAGAAGCCAGTAGAAACGTTCATGTTTTATGACGTCACGGTGAAGGAATGCACCGTGGAACTTGTAAGTTATTGCATAGGAACTTGTAAGTTATTGAGCTGTGAACACGCCACAAGTTGTTTGTATCAGGAAGCGAAAATGAGTTTAATTCTAAAAGTTTTTTATGGGAAAGAGAAATGCCACAACGTTTACCTAGATCACTTGCAAGTTTATAATTTTAAAAGTCTTAAGAACTTGTAAGTTATTTTACTTATTAGTAACTCTCTGTAGTAACTTTGCATTTCTTCTCCCAGTGCCTTCCCACGAATAAAGGTTCTCCCTAGTGTGAGGCGGTTTCTACAAAAAACCGACCAAAAAAACCGAAAAAACCGAGTGAACAGGTTTTTTTAAAAAATATGTTCGAAAATCGGTTTAAAAAAGACAACAACACACGCTATTGAATATTTTAGACCTGTCTTCGCAGACGACCGCCTTTATTACTAGCGAATCAAAATTCACCATCGCTTGATCCGCTTATCCGTTCAAGACTTCAAGCTCGCGCGAAATTGTGAAACGTTCATGTTTTATGACGTCACGGTGAAGGAATGCAGCGTAGAACTTGTATGTTATTGGATTTTAAATAACATACAAGTTCTACGCTGCATTCCTTCACCGTGACGTATTAAAACATGAACGTTTCTACTGGCTTCTGACTGTCTTTTCAACTTCCGGAAAAGACACTCTACTGATTTCGGTAATACAACATTTTAGAACTGAAAATACGCGAAGTGATTATAATTAACTAGAGAATACTTATGATTTATATGTGGTTTACAGGTATAAACTATTATAAACTGGCCGTTGAGAAAGATCGTGACTCTATTTTTACGACCATTACGACCATATGGAAACGAGGCTCAAGGACTCGTGCCTGATCACAGAGCACAGGGTCAGTTTTGGGCTAATCCCAAACTACCCTGTCAAAATTCCCTGTGGGAGGAAACTGGAGTACCAGCAACCAACGCCTTTCGGTAAAGCATTGACCGACTCTTTTCACAAAAGTGTCACGAGTCCACAGCGGGAATTGAACCCACAATCCTATAGCGGTGAAAGGCAATATTGCTCCGACGATAATGCCACCGAACTCCAACTCTCACTCAAAGTGGTATGCAGGTTGCCTTGTAAAATTCCACTCGAAACGATGCGGATATTATTTAACTACTATAACATTTCTGATTTTTACTTTCCGTTAGAGATCACAGCTGAAGAAATTGATGTTCACGTTTTTCGGAAGACTTGTAAACGAAGGGTACAACGGTCCAATAAGTATCTTTAAAATAACCGATATTTTCTTCGATACCTGTAATTTGTTTGTTACGCCGACTGAAACCGACGATGGTGATAGATTCGACGAAGAACATAATACAATGAACACCGCGGAAAAACGTCTGCGCATGCGTCAACCTTACCTGTAATAGTATTGCGAAGTTGATGAGAAGCTTTTCAGAACGTTTCCGAAGGCTCAAAATGGCGGGAAAAAGGAGTGACTTCATTGTGCGTCTTTACAGCCAGATTTCGAGCGCAAAAATAAACATGTCATTCTAAAAACTAGGAATAAATACAGCCAGAAGGTTCAAGAAATTGTATTGTACAAGAACATGAACTAAAGGTGATTGTTGACAAATTTATCGTCTGGAACATTTTGTTTATCAACTAAGCAACGACAATTTCCGAATTTTCGTTTGAGATACATTTCTTTAAAAAAAACTGTGTCGCCAAATATAAAAAATTTTCGTGTTCACAATAATTAAACTTTAGGATTTATTCTACAATTTGAGTGGGTTGAGAAGCTTAACTTTTCGAGAGTTTTCTTAACTTTTGAGTTTGAATTTTTGTTTTGAATAATTTTGCAAAAATTTTCGAAGTCGTGTCCGTTAAAATCAACAATTTTTTACATGAATTATATTTCATTCCATACTTTAAATGGCAGGACGCTTTCAATTAATGTCTAGTCTACCCTTTGCTATATTTTCTCGTTTGTTTTACTAATTTTTGACCAATTAATAACCATGTTTTTGGTTTAGAAATTGATATTCAAATTCCCCGCCATATTTTCATAATTTGGTGCATGCGCAGACGTTTTTCCGCGGTGTTAATACAATGGTAAGTATTGTTCAAACGCTTTAACCTGCGCATGCGCATTGCAAATAACAGCGGCGGGAAATATCATGGTAGAAAATCTACCAATTACCTGTTCGCTAAAAAAATTAGCAAGATCCAACTCTTATTTTTACCATAAAAACAAGTGAAATACTTGAATAATTTTCAGTTTTAAAAACGCTTCTGTTATTATTTACTGCAGTCACTTACATGTAAGGATTATCTATAATAGGATTATAGCATACGCACAAGATTTACCCAGTCACTAACCAAATCCTTATTGGTGGATGGCGAAGGATGTTTTTCTTAGCATGTGGATTGTCTTAAATCAAACTATGACCTATATACGGGATAGCTCTACATGTTCTAAACCGTCTTCCCAAATAACATATCCATTAAAGCTGTGGGGATAGGCTCGATAATGATGCAAACAGAATGTATTAGGAATCAAATTCGATTCAGGGATTCAAGCAAGATGCATGCACTTTTTGTCTCCAATCAGAGATTGGGTTTTTCTGGTGGGAAAAATTTCCATAAACGTGGACATATCATTCTTAGTAATTTGTTTCCATTAGGAGAGAGAATTTTGTGTAACACTTCAGTGCTAAAAATTGTGATTCAGTGCCAAGAATATGATTTAGTGTCAAAAATTAGGATTGATCCTGTGCGGACAATGTAATTCAGTATCAAATATTTGATTCAGTACAAAAAATGTGGTTCAGTGCCAAAAAAGAGTATTACGTGTGACACTTCATCATCTAATCTTAATCTTCATCTGATCGCAATAGAAAGTTAGTTTGTAGCTAATAGTCAGCAATAAAACTGTATTTATTTTGGTCTTAACGACCTGTAATTTTATCTTCAGGTTCCATTGGTTCACAAAAATTCTTTGAAGGGCAACCATGCGGTAGCAGGAACTGAAGAAGCAGTGGATACACACAACATAGTGAGCGAGAAAAGAAGAGAAAAAAGTATTGTTCTTGTAGTATTTTATGTTGTTCAATTTTGTTTTTTTAGTCCTCCCTTTGAAAATTTCACATATGATTTCACATGTGAAGTGCTCCAATTCCACAAAAGAAATAATTATTTCACATGTGAAATTAATTTTCACATATTATAACCCTTTACCTCACATGTGAAATTTATATTTCAAAGTATGTGAAACTCGATTCATATGTGAAATTCTAAATTTCACATAAGAAATGAACATTTTCACATATATGAAATGTTTCAATCTCACATAAAACGGTTTATACGAAAAATTATAACTAGAAGTTACTATCGCAAGGAAAATGCTGCCTCACCCCCAAGGGATCAAAGGCAGCATGCACAATTCGCTGACAGTGCATGATTCAGCAAAAACTACACTATTTTCTAGAGATGGACTATAGTTAACTGTAAACGAAAGGTTGCCTGTTCAAGCATAATATAATCTTCTTGAACCACAAGATCTTCTCTACAACATTTGAGTTCTGCTAACCAGCATTTGAACTTTCATTTAGCCTAGTGACTGATATTTCAATACATCAAAATCATTGTTCCTTCCATCATGCAAACAGCCCCTAAGACGCCTGTTCAGGAGGTAGGAAAAGGGCAATTTGAATATCAAACATCTTGCACAAAGTCGAAGGGTGGCTAAAAGTAGTCTAATTCTTATTTGTCCTCTATTAACTATGTCTAATTCTACTTTCTTGGCATGGGCGGTTTTATATGAATATCTTCAATGCTTATAACTTCTTGCTTTTGTATAATTATAATACTGTCAGTGGTGAAGTTAGCCATAGCAACAGGTCATGCTATGCAAGTTTTTAATGATTTGCATTATTCAAAATTATAGATGCAGGTTTATCAGCATAGCATGGCCAGTTGCCATGGCTAGCTTGCCACTGAATACTGTACAATGTTTATATGAAAATACTAAGTCAGGTTTTATTCCAATTATTGTTTTAATGCCACCTTCAAGGCTGCCCATATTACAGAACAACCGAACAATATGCTGATGGGGAGACAAGATCTATTTGTTGACATTTCTAATTGTGAGCATTATCGAAAAATATAAATACACTCTGAAATGTAGTGACACAGCCAGATGAATATATGAATGTGGGCCGATAGGATTATTTCATATTATTTTTCACCCTGCTCGGTTTCCTTTGTTTTTATCGGGGAATATATTCAATATTCCACTCTAATCAATTTCCGTTTAATAATCCCCTCTAATATTCACCAGCAAATTAATAATCCCCTCTAATATTCACCTGCAATGTCTTTGCAGCACAAAAAAAGAGAAAAAAAACAACATAACGAAGGCAATATGGCATTAAGAATTATTTCTATTCTGTCTCATGAACGCAACCTCGCAATGTGAAAAATAAGTACGTTATTTTGAGGCACCTCGGGGATATGTGTTTATTCACCTCGGCGCTGCGCGCCTCGGTGAATAAATCACATATCCCCTCCTTGCCTCAAAATAACCTATACTTATGCTAACATGGGACATAATCTCAGAGGCCTCAAAGATATATACTGTATATATAAACAGACAGTCATATCTTTACAAAAGTCAGTTGACATACGATTACATGTAATTGCTGGTAAGTCAATATTTAAAGTGCAGACAACAATCCACACTGGATTGCTCTAGGAATCTTATTACAGTAAGCCTAATTTAACAACATTCCGCGTTTGTTGTTAAACTATAAACATCTAGAAGTGAACACAATATATACTCATCGTCTTGGCACATATATTAAACAAACAAATAAACTGAGTGCATTTAGACTCCTTGTATAAATATAAAGGCATTATTGACGAATAGATCAGGCGGGCTATTATTAAAACTGCCGGTACTTTCATGAATTATATTACTTCAGAACTCCTTATAAGTACATTTTGTCTCCTTGAATATGACATAAAATTATCAAATGTTCTATAAACGACCATGCAGACAATGCGAATCGGAATTATTTCGGGCTGTAAGAAGCGCCGTAAACTCATAAAAGCACATTGCTTGCCGCCAGAATGAACGCTAAACAGTTTATTGCCTTGATGGATATTAGCACAAAGAAATAAAGCCATACTTACCTGGTTTCTTCGGAAAATGTTCGTATATTTTGCAGATCCAGAATAAAAAGTTTGCATATTATGTGCACGCAATTTAATATTTTTCTCGCACTCCCCCCGTCCGTCCCCCCCCGGAATTACGACATCTTAACGGACGGACAGACACAAATCGAAATCTCGACAATACATAGATCGGCGCGAAAGACTGGGTCGAGTGAACTCTGGAGAAACCTTCATGTCAAGATTAGGAGTGCATGTGATACTTTTCACGTCCTTTACTATGTCTATGCTATAAATTTAAAATCTTACGTTGAATCTTAATTTTCTTTGTTCTAGAACTTACGCAGTCCACGAAATTCAAATGAGGAGGAAATCATAATGAAAAACTCAGATGAGGTTAGGAAAACAAGAGTTAAGTAATAAATGTACTTCAAAAACTCATTAATAATTCATGAAGCAATTATCCAATCTTGAGTAAGAAATTAGTCACGTGCATACGTCTTTATACCAGCTAAAGAACACTTTTAACAAGAGACCATTGTTATGCAAACTATATAAAGATTTTTATATAAAGATTTTTATATAAAGATTTTTATATAAAGATTTGACTTATTATGCAAACGTTTTTGAAGCCATTTAAAAAACTCGCAGGTCGTGTTTTATTCGGTCTAAAGCCACTCGCGCTGCGCGCTCGTGGCTTTAAACCTAATAAAACACTCCTGCTCGTTTTTAAATAGTACATAAAAAACAGGGATTATTATTTTATAACAAATAAACGTGGTGTTAAGGTTTTTAACGCTACAGCAATTCAAAAAAGAGTTTCATTACCTCATCATAGCCATACCTTGACAAGTCGTAGCACATTTTAATCTGGCTTTTTATCGCATGCACTGCAATCATCATTGGTGAAAATCTTGTTTGGCTGAATATATCCAGGTTTCCTGTTCACAACAAGAACTATGCGAGACACTGACTCAGAGGAGTGACAAGAGTGGCAAAGTGAAAACTCAGTCAGAATTGGACACAATTCATGCGATTCAGGTAACCATGCAACTAATGCTAAAACTGACAGAAGTGCATATTTATACTGAATAGTTCAACCAAATTTATTTACTGTAGAAACATTTAGCTGTATGGGTCCAGTTATTACTACACAAGACAAAACCTTAACTAAACCATATTGACTTGCTATTGCATGGATAGCTTCAGCTATCGGTTTTAAATTGTTGCCCAAGTGGTCCAGTAAGAGGCCCTTGTTAATGATAAGATTCTTTCAATTTTAAAAATAATTTATATATTATTCTAAGGTTTCAGCGCCATCTGAAGCAAAAATATCTTCCATGGGAGAAACTCAGGCACACGGCGCAAGCGGGGAAAACAACTGGGGCCGGTTGCATAAAAAGGTAGCTAAAGTTAACTGCTGCACAGTTAGTGCAAAAGTCAATCAATCGAAATTGCGTAATTTACACTTAACTACTATTTAATTACTAAATCGTGATTAAAAAGTAGTTAAGGTTACAGGATACCCTAGAACGTAAAAATTTTGAATATTTTTTTTTTACATGTTCTTGTTGCTTTTGAGCATACCTGTCGTCTGGAAAAAAATGTAAATCAGTATCTTTAAAATTAAACAGGTTATTTAGTAAAACGCAATTGAAG